AAAATTAGGTGTCTATTTACTTGTGACCACTCAGTGTACATATAACAAAGAACAAGGCTGGTTCGTATGGCACACACCCAGTAAGATACATTCCAGTCTGAAAAGTGCCCTTTCACGCGATTAACTGAGAATGTTTTCGTACTGTGCGAATTTAAGAATGTAACAATTATGCCTACTTTGCACAGAAATTAGCTGAAGAGATGAGAGATATTATGATTTTATAATAATAGTTTTATCTTACCGTAGTTAATTCTAAGGGCTTATGAATAAAAATAAAGAAAAATATGTTATAATGTGTCAACAACACTACAGCTGTCATATCCAGTGCCAAAAAAGTATTTTGCCCTATAGTAGAGCATGACCCGTCAGGCTGGCTGGGATACAACAGACATGATATTGGTCTAGGTTTTATTTATATCATCAACTTTCGTGAACAACCGTTATGGGGTGAAAGAGGCTAAGTAGTGATTATTATTATTATTTTATATTTAAGTCATTTGTAAGTCAGATGTTTAGGGTAAGGATTAATACCACAATATTATTGATTTATTTTATTGAAAACACTAGCTATATATCTAGTATTATTATTATAAATCCCAATTTTTCTAAATTATCCTGTGCACTATAAGTTAGCATCAAAGAGGCTTAAACGCTGAAGAACAAATATAAATAAATGTTTTGTTATTTATGCTCTAGAACTGATAAAATTGCTTCATCCTTACGCAGTCGACAGTTGGTCTTTAAGAGGTGAACCTTTCTGAACAGCAAAAGCTACAGGTTTCCGACTGAACTCATTTCCAACAGCAATTAAATCGCAATCTTTCATCGTGGCATATTTAACCTGTATGGCGTCAGCTAGAAAGGGACCAAACTAGAATCACTTATGCTAATTTCAAATTATCGTTTTATATCTTTCTATAATTTATATTTCGCTAATAAAAGTTAATTATTTTTGAATATATATATTATTTATATGTTTGTCCTAAACTTCGTATACTTTGTAATTTCTTACGTGTAATAAAATTTTGTTTGTGTATATCATTTTGAATGCTGCACAGTTTTTTCTTAATATTAAATGATATAGTTCCAGCAGATTTTAAGAAAGAATTGTCTAATATGATAAATATAGAAACAAAACTTTAAAGAAGAAAGTTACTTAAAAGTTACTTAAACGATTTCATGAATAATTTAAAATAAACAATCTTTTTCTACCAACAGAAGTATTAATTTCAAACTTTTGGGCAAAACTACACAAGGGCAACCTGTGCGTAACAATCCCTAATTTCGAACTCATAGACCAGAGGGTAGACACCTACCACCAATTCTTGTCTGAATGAGTAATAAGATTTGATCGTCATTCTTATAGTGCAATCACAATCCCAAAATGTCAAGCGCGTTTTTCAGGCAACAGCCAGGTTGCGAACCACGAATCCTCGGATTCACAGTCTGGCTAGACTAAACTAGTAAATATCTATGCATATAAATAACAAGTTAAATTTAAAAATATTCTCTATGTAACAAAATAAAATAAATCGTTTTTTTTTAAACCAACTGAATTAAAAGAGTAGAGTTAAGAACATTCATTATATAAGAACCTAACCATAATGGAATAATCGTAAAGGTTTACACTCTAAAAGCTTTAGAGATTGGAAAGTCCTTGCGTTGTTGATGGAGTTTTGAAAGAAACTAGATTTGTTCCCTTTTGTATTAGCTTTAAAATGTATTTAAGTGAGTAGTCTTAAAAGTTTCCGTTTGAGAACACATTAATAGGGTTCCGCTACTAACGTGTGGAACAACTGTGTTTTCATTGCCAGGAGAACCTGTAATTTCTATTTAATGGTCAACTTTTAAAGTAGATCACTAACAGAATTATCAGCATATACAGTATTTAGACCAGTGTAAATATGAAGAAAGGTTTTCATTTTCATGGCTGAATTAATTAACAGATATCGATATCCCACAGTAGACTATAACATCACGTGGTTGAATACTATAAGAAAGTATGCATTTGGGCTTGAAGTGACTTACCTATGAAAGCAAACCCATTAGGCTGAGAATTATCAAGATTCAAGACACTTTTTATACCGTCTTCAAAAGAATGAGGAACTGCTGTTTTGCGTATGTTCGCCAGAAGTTTAGTGTACTTATTCCCTAACGGATAGTCGAACACTGACAGTTTAGTCTGGGTTGTGACTTTATTCCCAAACTTCGTAGGTTCGATAGTCATAGCTTTCCACTTCCTACGTATATAAAAAAAAATGTTTGTGTAGAATTAAACATACTACTAACAAATGTCTTTTAGTTCATATATCCAAAATATTCACTACTTGTATATTAAATTGTACTGTTCTTAATGATATACTTTTAAAAAAATTAAATTAAATGAGGTCGAGTGCAGTTATTTGTTTACATTATTTTAATCAGATATTTTGTGTAACTTGTTATAATAATGACCACCTAATGCCATTTTGTAAAACCATCTTAAGATTGCTCTAAATATGTTAGATTTAAATCTGTAATGGGCGTACAGTTATTTGAAACACAATTCCATGTTAAGGGTCTGATGAAACCTGGGCAAAGAATAAACTAGTGACCCCTCCTGTTTACCCTTGCTTTTAAAAAATACCATACAATTTGATAAACTAAATTTATTAGCGATAAAAGAATTAAGGAAATAATATATACACGTTTCTTTAAGAAAAGGTTAATTATTATTATTACTTTATTATATACTTCATATTTTATTATTTATTATTATATTCGCAACGCATTGTGGGTCTATGATGGCGGTGGACCCTGGGTAATTACCACTTTTGTTCAGTGGATAAAATAGCCCTGTTGAAACATAGTACAGCGAATTCATTTGGTCTAATCGGCAACTCTATTTTAAACTTCCATTACTTGGGTAAAAGCGAATATATTAGTTTTTATTAATGGGGTTCAGGGTTTCAGTTGCCCTTCAACTAATGGAAGTTATGCATGTCACTTACTGTATTACACAGTTCAGTAAGTTTACAGACTTGTTCAGTTGTTGATAACACAGAATGCGAGCTTATCGTATACCTAATTTAATAAATTAAAACTTTTTTATATGCTTATGTCTGTATAATGTACAACTCGAAAACAAAACAAAATACGGTAAGCATCACGTAAACCCGTTTATTCCACTGCAAACTAAGCCTTAAGTAAGAAACTCGGTTAACACCACGCAAACTCATAAGACCCTTTGCGCGTGGCGTCACGCATATATTACCGGCAAGCCATGGTTTACTTTGGTCACGTGACTGCATACTAAGCCTAATATAGAACTTAAAAAAACAACAACTCGGTAAGCATCACATAAACCTGTTTATTCCCGCTGCGCACTAAGCCAATACGCAGACACCCAACTGCTATACTGATTAGTTCATTCAGGGTATAGTTTGTTATAAAACTAACAGAAACAACTAAACATACGCAACCACGACTTGACATCGATCAGTATCTAGAAATGCGACTGTAAAGAAAACAAGTCCATACCACAATAATTTATAAAAAAAATACTTGTAATTTTCTAATTGATTCTGTATGCGACACTAAAATCTTTGAGTACACACATCGAACGTCCTTTAACTTCTTCCTATAATCAATTTTCAAATATCAACTTTTTTCCCACTTACATTGAATTTAGTTATCTTTTTTAAGGAACCCTTGGATCTGCAGCATATCATTATCTAAATAACTCCCAACTGAACAGTAACGTGAAGGGAGATACCCGTATTAGTAATTGTAGGTCTTGGCTGTGGTTCAAGCAATTTATTCCAGAATACTGGGTTCTTTTTTAAATATTCCTGTTTTCATTGACGATCCAAGCTCTTTCTTAGAACACACAAAAAAAAAATACAAAACGTGTAATTATAACGACCATAGGAAAGCTGTATACTTAAAGCAGTTTGTTCATCCAGGTCAATTAAACAATAGTTGTGTATTCAAGTAGTTATTAAGCTCTTGCTGCTGTTCGCCACTATGTTTTCGGTGGAAGTCAGCAATTGTCAGAAAAATAGATGAATTGAAATGAAAACGTATCCAACAATAAAACAGGTACAATTAAATTAAAACTTTTTATATATTGTGCTGCTTTAAAGTTTAATGGCAACGTGACATTTGCGAAATATTTCTTTTGTATTATTTTATTTTAGTAGAGGTGAGGTATTTATTCAAACAATAACTGTTTATGAGTTAAATGGCAAATTTTCAGATAAAGCTGTCCAATTGAGCGCCAATCGAAGCAGCTTTAACTACATGCCCTAGTAACGACAAATTTGATAGACTTGGTGTAATCGGTTAAATACTGATTATTATTATTATTATGAAACATCAATAATCTATAATAACGTACTCATAAAATATCTCTTCAATGTAGGCCATACGTTCAAAGTAAATCATTGCATCACTGTCTGCTTCCGGTGCGTATTTCACCTTGTGTTGATTCACCAAATCATCGAGTGAGGAAATGGTGTTCTCCATTCGAGAAACTGTCATTGAGGCTGCGAGATTGGCAGTGAACGATACGATAGCAATGAAACCAAACGCCCACCAGGTGGCGGCCACAAGTTTTCCAGAAATGTTACGTGGAGCTTCTCCGCCTCCTAGAAAATATCGTAACAGTGCAAATAAACAAATAAAGTTTGAATATCATATTGAAGAATATTTATGAATAAAAAAGGGCCCTGTTAATAACTTATATTGCTATTTTGATGTGTGGTTTGTTTTGATTTGAATTGCGCGCAAAACTTCTCGAGGGTTATCTGCTCTAGCTTCCATAATTTAGTAGTGATAGAGCAGAGAAAAAGAGCCTAGTCAACATCACCCATAGCCAATTCCTAGGCTACTCTTTTACCAACGAATAGAGGAATTGACCGTTGTATTATAACGCTCCCATGGCTGAAAGGATGAGCATGTTCGGTGACGGGGATTCGAAACCGCGGCCCGCAGATTGCGAATCGAGCGCCCTAACCACCAGCCCCCATACGTTTATGTAACAACCTTATGTATTAAGAAAAACAAAACCACTTAAATTAATTAACTATTTCAAATCATTTGTTTTACCTCAGGGGTTGAATTAAACATGGCAAAAGTAAGAACATTTCAAAATCAGCATTGTTAAAAAGATATTTCAAGTAAAGGGAAAATCGAAAACGAATTAAAGATTTGTACTGAAAAAAAACGTTTGTAAAATATAAGAAATATGAACAAAAACAAGAGGGAATCCTCAATAGCCGCGGCACTTGAAATTATTTCAGGCAGGATTAAAGTAAATTAATCTATGAGACCTTTGTTTCCTTTTTATTAGCTACATTTTTGTGCACCAGTAATACCAAGCGTGGTATACTCGATTCGATTATATTACTTATCAGGATCTCTTCCAGCCTACCCTCAATTTGAAATTCTTTAGGATTAGAATAAATTAATCTGTAAGACCTTGGCCGTGATTAAATACATCAATCGAAAGGGTTTCACCTCCAGAGTCCAAAACTGTAATTAGATCAAGATCAAGAGATGACGGAGCTATGAGCTAATAGTTCGTACTTGAAAAACTCAGAGCCATTCTATGAGCTGCTATGCTGTGGCTAAAAATATTTCGATAGCTTCTACTCAAAAAGGGAAATTGGGTAATTTAGTTACCTCACTAAAAACATCGAGTACTTAAAAATAATTTGGCCCGGCGTGGCCAGGTGGTTAGGGCGCTCGACTCGCAATCCGCGGGTTCGAATCCCCATCCCACCAAACATGCTCGCCCTTTCAGCCGTGGGGGCGTTATAATGTGACGGTCAATCCCACTATTCGTTGGTAAATAAGTAGCCCAAGAGTTGGCGGTGGGTGGTGATGACTAGTTGCCTTCCCTCTAGTCTTACTCTGCTAAATTAGGGACGGCTAACGCAGATAGCCCCTGTGTAGCTTTGCGCGAAATTCATAAACAAAAACAAACAAAAATAACTTTTAAATTGCTGTCTGTAAAAGGTGTTTCTAACTGTTAGCGCAGAAAACCACAGGAGAATGAAGCTTGTTACATCATCCATATTTTAGCTAAATCGAGAAACGGAGATCATATAGAAAATATCAAACTAAAGAAGACTGACATAAATTTTAATAGAGATAGAAAACAATTGAAAGAAAATGGACAAAAGGTATATGAAGTATATTGTTACGTATCTGCTTGTTTGATAATTTCTTCCCGAGGAACTTCAGCGATACAAGTCCTTTCTTAAATAAAACTAGTTTATTCTTCCTCAATACAACTTTGTAATACACTTGATTTCCACAGTCACTTTAACTTAAACACACGCTATAATTCACAACGATTTACACACTTTACTTACGGCTCGACTCGACTATATGTCTCCCTATCTCTCTGTCTGCTATCCAACTAACTATCTCGCTTTATTTGTCGCGCTTATATACAAGAATAGAGAGCGTCTAGAATGCACTCGCCTCTTCACGAACCTTCTAGACACTTATCACGTGTTACAAGCGTCACGTGACCTCCACTGTCGTATCACTGCCCCTTCCTTAGTATTGTTCGTTCCGAACAATAGCCACTTACATTAAACCAATAGATGACTAACAATAACTTAATTAAATGTACGAATTTACAAACACAAAATTAAAATTCAACAAAGTCTCTTAATTCTACGGGGCGTATCTTCTTCCATACTGGTCTCCGTCTCGTTGGCTTCTGCTTCACGTGGGGTTCATCTGCTCCATCAGGAAATGTCCTATTATCAGTAACAGACACGTCAGTGGTAGCAACTTCATTAAGGGTTACACTGTTTCCCTTCTCAAAACCGAGTAGATTTTCTTCTTCGACAGTGGCTATTTCAGGTGACACGTCTTCAGTAGCGTCATCTGTTCCATTGTTCACTTCGTTCCAACTGAAATGTCCTGGACCGTGATAATGCTAAAGCCTGTTGGCATGCACCACCTTTGGTTTACCTCGCCGACCACATTTTATCCGGAAAGTCACGTCTGAGAGACGATCCACTATGTCATATGGGCCTTCCCATGGAGAAGACAACTTAGGAGACTTTCCTTTGGTCTTCCTGGTATTATACAACCACACCTTGTCTCCTTGTCTCCAGCTGACTTCAGTAGACTTCTTATCATAACATAGCTTCATAGAATAAGCAGACGTTTTCAAGTTTGAATGCAATTGATGGTGAATATCATCCATCCTTTC